TAAAGATCTATTTCCACACCTGTAGCACTTCAGTTTGCCTCATTATGGACTTGGTATGTAAAGCTGTGTTTTAATGTTTTTGAACAGTATTGCCTCAAATTAATCTTTCTTCTGTTTTTGTTTTAAGCAAAACTTGGAGGAGCCAATGACTGTCAATGAGATGGACACCAGTAATGGAGTGCTTCTGCCCTTCTATGACCCAGACACCAATGTCGTTTACCTCTGTGGAAAGGTGCGTTTCCTTCTAAGCACCCAATAATCAAATCAAGCATTGTTCTAACACAAAGCTTAATGTCTCAATTTAAATGTGCACACATTAGAAATAAAACACTTGTTTATATCCTGATAGGGAGACAGCAGCATCCGTTACTTTGAAATCACAGACGAGGCTCCCTATGTTCACTTTCTGAACACCTTTGCCAGCAAGGAGCCCCAGAGGGGTATGGGCTACATGCCAAAGAGGGGCCTCGATGTCAATAAGTGTGAAATTGCAAGGTAACCCAAGACTGGTCCTAAATCATCATCTCTGAAACCAGAAATCGTTTTGATTTTATTCCATCATCTCTAATGTGGAGTTCATTGATTGACCACTAGGAGGCAAACTGTAACCGTTATGCAACAATCCACAGGAAACTGCTGTTTTTATTGTGTAATGATGTATTGAACTGTGAGTAACACCAGGCTTTTTATGTTGCAGGTTCTATAAACTGCATGAAAGAAAGTGTGAGCCTATTGTGATGACTGTGCCTAGAAAGGTGAGTACTCGCCCTAACATGCTACTTTGCAGCAGCTTTTAGACCTCTAATCTACTCTTTAAATCACAAGCACCACATTCACAAGTTCTCTTTTCCTCACAACTTATTGCTCTATTCTCTCCCGTCAGTCGGACCTGTTCCAGGACGACTTGTACCCAGACACAGCTGGTCCAGATCCTGCTTTGGAGGCTGAGGAGTGGTTTGATGGTAAGAATGGAGACCCCATTCTCATCTCTCTGAAGAATGGCTACGTCCCGGGCAAGAACCGTGAATTCAAAGTGGTCAAAAAGAACATGTTGGACAACAAGGTCACCAAGAACTCAGAGAAGTCGAGCTCTTCCAACAAGTCCTCCCACCCAGCTCCATCAATTGTGAGTGTTTGCTTTCATCAGTGTGTCCAGTTAAAACCGGTTTAACAGTACGTTGTCACTCAGTCTCAGACGTGTAGTGTTGAGGAGTAAGGTCGTTTTTTTTAACAGTTATTTATTTTGCATGATTAGATTAAACAGTAGATTGAGATGCCTTATTTCACAGTCTTACACTGTATATGTTGAGGTCCCTGCATGTAGGTCATGCTATGCCACTGTCTCATCTCCTTGCAGGTGGCTGTCTGGGGCTCCTAGCGTTACATTTTTTTTTTTTTTTTTTTTTTAGTCATGGCAGATTGCTGCCAAACTTAGATGAGGTGGTTTGTAAATGTTACTCGTCCCACTCTGGCGCATAGAGGGAGAGGTCTTCTGCTGCTCTGGGCCCCTGCTCCTGGGCGTCCAGCAGCACCTCACCCACAACACAGCCTTGGTCCCAGCCCATGTGTCTCTGTGAAGGTCTGCTCTGTAATCATAGCCCACTGGGCTCCAGTGGTGTTGAAAGATGTTAACCCTCAGACTGCCAGATCCTACCACACTTGATTTAAAACAAAACTTGGGATGTTGTCCCAAAGGGCCTTACATGTAGCACAGATTAGAGAGTAGTCTGCTTTAAGGTCATTCTTGCTAGGGGAAATGAAGCTTTTGTCTTAAGGACACTTGACTTAAAGCTGTCAGATTATGACAAAAAAAAGAGAAAGAAAATTAATAACCAGCAATTTTGGTCAGTGTAGATCAAGATGAACATTTTAACTTGAGCAGTAAATAATGGATTCATCAAACTTTAATAATGAAGAAACTTGTCTCTTTAAGTAAATTGATTGATCTTAAGGTAAAAGTTGAATTTAAATAAACTAAACCTGCCACAATCTGTTAGGGAGTGGATTTAACTAGACTCTCACTCCTTGTGAATCCATCTTTCTATGATCTGCCCTATTCATCGGTGCAGTCATTAAGTTCAGTGTGTGCAAAACCAGCTTAAAATTCCTAGAAGTTTCTTTGACCCACGGATTTCAAGGCGTACTACTAAGGGACCCACCTTAGGTTTACCTCATTTTAAAAGTGACTGTAGCTGTATTTTCATAAAGATGGTTAAAAGCCCATTAAGTCTCACTTTTGTTTCTCGTATCTCTCACAGAAATCTGAAGCCAAGCTGGAGGAGATCTTGAAAGAAATCAAGTCCCTCAAGGACATGATCAGCAGTCAAGAAAAGCGACTCGTCCAACTTGAAGAGCAGATGTCCAAACTTGCCATTTAAGGACCCTTTTGCCCAACCCGCTACAATTCAGGACGCTCCACTGGCTGGGGGTGGGGGTGGGCGGGAACACTCACTGCCTATCTCAATGACAGTGTTTCGTCTGCCTAGCAAAGATCCCTAGCAACATTCCAGATGAACTTTTTCTTAGCCAGCTCCCAACCCTCAGTTTAAAACAGGTGGAATAAGAAGAACATGTGGCAGATTTAGTAGAAAATACTTTCTTTTTGGTGGCAAAGGACTTTTCCTTTTATTCTGTGGCAGTCTTTTTTTCTTTTTTTTAAATTGTGTCTACTTGTATAAAAAGATCTTACATAATTCTTTGCATTTTAGAATAATGATCAAGAAAACCATGTCAACAGCCCCCCACCCCCAATTTATCATTGTATAGCATCATGTTTTATAAGTAGGCCTCAGTGTTTGGTGTTTGCCCTTCTCCAAAATTAAGACATTGCCAAATCTGGACTTTTGTTTACACTTCCTTAGCAGTATTTTTTTAAAGTACAGAAACAAAATCAGTGCTGCACTATGAAATTAAAATAATTTAATTGGATGGTTCTGAAAGAGAGACTGACAGATTAAATTTGTAGTTAAAATACATTGCAGGTTGCCACAGCGGACACCAAACACTCAGACACAACCTTAAGTGACTAATTCTTGCTGTCTCTGTTGAAGCTGCAGAAATCCACACTTCGCCTCTGCTGTTTCCTTTCATTCCTGTCGCTTTTCCATCATTCCGACTGTGGACGTAATAGTCCAAGTAAACATGCATTCCTTTCTACCTTGCTTTACCAACATGCACTCTGCACTTATTCAAGAAAGTGACACATTCCACAATTCCTATTGGCTGTTCTTGGTATGGGGGGGGGAAACACACTCACTGCGGTGAATCGGTCGCACTGCTTAGTTGTTGGGATTCTTTATGTGGTGCTCATGGAAAGACGAGCTTTTGCATTTTCATTCTTTCTGCGAGGAAAAACTCCAACCCGATTGTTTGGTTATCCATGTGCTTGCTCAGCACATCACTGTAGTCAAGTGCAGTGGGCTCATTTTTTTTGTCACTGCTCTTTTGTTTGCTTTGCCATCTGATGTCTGCGTTTTCTGTACAAGCACAAAAGAAAGTTTTCTAAAATGACATCAAATAATCCCGCAGCTACTTGACTGCTTTTAAACATGTGATGTTAAAGCTGGCTAGACCTCAAAGGCCTAATCTGGGTCCTCATGTCTCTGGCCTTTTAGGTACCAGCCACTGTAGACTTTCCACTACAGAGTTTTCCTTTTAATTTAGAAGAAGTAAGTAGTTGGGTTATTGCTTCAATGTTCAATTAAATCCTGTTTCTTGTTCCAGCTGTTTCTACATCCCTCTTAGCACTTCCACATCTTGGCTATTTCTCAGATGCTCCAATTTAGTGCAGTCAAATTTGAAAATGGATCATATTTTTCAACCTGAGTTGTTGTTGTTTTTTTTGTTGTTGTTTTTTTTTAAAGATTGTTTCCCTGTGGGAAGCTGAGACGGGTAATGGTTCAATCTGTTGTTTGCCTTTAATAAATGTTACCACTGTAAAGACCTGAAAGTGCCATAGAGGTGACCCTGGAAGTGTTTTATTATTTTTGGTTTCTTTGTAGGTCGACTGTTCTGTGAGTAGTTTTGTGGAATAAATGGAGGCGAGGTGCCTGGAGTTTAAACCCACTTTGAGGTGCTATACTCAGTACAAAATTCAAAGGACTCAGTTTCTTACGTATTGTGTGACATCATGAAGTCCTGCCAGTCCATAATAAAGTTCACCAGGCAGCATTACTTTGTCAGGGTTTGTCAAACACATTGTGCCCCTGACGCTGTGACACTTTCCTCTGGGGTACAAGCTTAAAATGTAAAATGATGTAAAACCAGGAATCTGTTAGCTGAGTCATCAATAATCTGAGAATATTAGTGACAGGAAATGTAGAGTGTGATGCATGTTTGGCTGACACTGGTCATACTGCCATATCTTTTATATGAGACTGCCACTCTCTGGGTTAGCATTGTTGGCACAAGAGCGGAGTTTTGAGGAGTAGTAGCTTATAGAGATCCAAAGGGACACTGTAGGTGGAAAAATAAAAAATGTGTTGAAAGATAGATGTATGTTTGTAATTGAGGTCTAGAAAATGAGTGAGAACTGTGTAAATAACGTGACCATATCTATTTTTTTCCTCCCCATTTCTTTTGTTTTGTGGATGTGCTGAAGAGGGTATTTGTGTGGGAGGTGGATTTTTAAACATTCCCCCTGTTTGTTCCTTGCACCTTGCCATCATGAGAAAAGCAGAACCTCCGTTACGTCGGAGGTTATCAAGAAAGAAAATCTGATGAAAAATGAACCAGGATGAAAGCCTCGTGTGGAGGTCTGCTCAGCATTTTTGTTCATTATTCTTGCTTCAAATATCAAACCATTGATTATAAGAAAAATTAATAAAGAATTTTTAAAATGAGTTCACTGTTCAGTTGTTAATTAACAAATACACCAATTAATGATCAATATGACACTCACTGGACACTTTATTAGGTACTACTGTATGACACACACACACAGAGTCAACATGCATTCCCAAAAGTCTTGAGTTATTTCTCATTTCTTTGTGTGGCTTGAAAATAGTAGCAGTGGGGGTTTTTTTGGGGTTTTTTTTTTATCATTTGAATAAAGTAAAAGTCAATTCTGAGTTCATACAGTTCTAACAAGCTTGAAACTCAATACTTGGTATGAGCCATCCTTAAGATGGACCAACTGAAGGGAAAAATCTTCTCTCACGTCTTGTCAGGTCTTTGCTAGATTTTTTTTTTCTTCTGTTTCTTAATCACATAGATGTGTGCAGGTTTTGGCCAACAGTTCTTTGGGAATCCCCTTGTTGGTGCAAACATGCTAGTTTGTGCCTGTCACACTTTAATCTTTACCATTTTCTACAGATTCAACTTAACAAATAGTTACTACCAGCCTCTTATAACACCTACTTTATTCCAAAGTGGCTAAATATAGAACTTGGTTCTTTGTTTGTTATGTGCAGACACAACACTGGTGCCTTTTTTTAATGCATGGATGATTCATGGGTCAGGGTTAAGTGGCTTAAAAAAAGAAAAACATTCCTGTGAAAATGGACGGGTACAAGAACTGGACTGAAAATGAATGAAAAAGCAGCCAATGTCCAAAGAAAACTGAAAGATTTCCAGAAAATGGCCTTCAGAAAGTATTTTTTCAGACCACTATAAGAAAGGTTTGGCTCCCTGGAAAGAAAAAAAAAACTATAATTGACACTTTTACGCAGTACTGTGTAACAAGACGAGAAACACGAGCACCCTTAAATAAATGCCCTGCAAGTTAAACAGTTATCCAGTGCTCCTAAAAGTCCATTTAGTTCATATATTTGCTCTGTACATGTGTTTCAGGATGAAAAGAGTGCTTTCTGCCTGTACTGGTCTTGTATGCCCTGCAGAGACAGGCTGTAATCAGCAGGAACGTAATTAGAGAGTATTCAGTGCAGGCCAAAAAAAAGTTGTGGAACTCGCCCCACCAAGAATAGAAAACCCTTTTCCGAAGAACTTGGGACTAACATGCACCAACTGCAACATATTTGTTTTAAAGATAAACACTGAGGCTAAGGTTGTATCTGTCAGTCAGACTGTGAATGGACGAGCACATACTGTGGCAAATTAGCCTTTCGTTGCAAATAAAGACTGTTTCTATTTGTAGAGCATCCCGCGTATCTTTTGTCCTGTTAGTGTGAAGTATCACCATGCTCAGATCAAATGTTTCTCAAAAAAACATATGTATGATAAAAAAATCTGGTCCCACATGGCCGGCTACATGAACTTACCAAGAGTTAGGCTGTTGGAGGATAGAAAGTTCAGAAAGAAAAAGAGGGAGGAGAACCTGAAGATGGAGGGCTGGACATGAGTTTGAGGTGAGGATACTTTTAAGAGCTCAGTAAAACAAGTCGGCACAAGTCAGCAGGGAGGGCGAATCCTCGGAAACGGTCTTCCACTCTTACTTTCTCGTCTGTCCGTCTTGTCTTGTCTCCCCCTTTTCCTCCCTCTTTCTGCAGTCTTACTCACTGCTTTGTGCTGCACAGAAGAGAAGCCGAGGCTAGCACATCCTGTAAGTATACATTTTACATTTGTAGTGAAATTAAGTTCAAGGTTAAAGAGAAGCCAAATATTTTCAGGATGTTTGACCTTTCATACGTTGTACTTTTATACATTCGTTTCACGAGTGGCAAATAGTGATGAAGAAATAAATGAAGTCTGAATGTTTGTGCAAAAGTACATTCGGTTCAACTATTTTATGTCAGAGATTCAAATGTTGCAAACTTTTCCCATAATCCAACTGTAAATCATGTGATGCATCACTACAGATTCAACTATGCTGATAATCTTGTGCTATAATTTACTCACTGCAAGGGAAAACCGCTCAACATGCAACTGTAATAGTCGTAATATTGCAGCAAAAGTTAAAGGGATCGTTGGTACAGTTCTTAAATACTTCTGTAGTTTTGAATGCACGACTTATTTATGGATTATTTACTTCTGAATACTTCCTTAAAAAAAAGATCTAAATGTCTAACCTTGAATCTGCACCGTGTACCAGGTAGCCACAATTGTATGTCAAGAAATATTTGAGATGGTCTAACATTTGTTTAGTAAGTTGCTGCACACTGGGTCATCAGGCTGAATGTGAGATAGGTATATGTGTAAAATATGGCTCTGCACGTTCAAAGTTTTTCATGTAATTAAGTTTATAAAAGCTTTAAAGTGTCACAAATTAGAAGGCTTTGAGCTGAAGGTAAGGGCGACCCTCTAGTGAAATACAGGAAATGTAATTTTAGCTGTAATTATGGGGACTTAAGGGGCAGGGCCATCCTAGAGCTGTACATTCAAGGATGGAGACCCAGCCCGCCATCTGGTGCAGCACAGTACATGCTGTATGTTTGACCACACTGGGAAGGGGAGCTTGTCTTTACAGCTTAGCACTGTGTAATTACAGACTGGGTTAAAGAGTTAAACAGGTTTGCAGAGCTAACAGACTCACTGGTTTCGGTTAAATCTTCTCAGTGAGAGGAAGCCAAAAAGAAAAGGATGGAGAAATGTAACACTGAGCAAGCTAGGAGGTTTCACTCAGTCATGGTGTAAATGCAGCTTTTCCTGGAAGCAGAAATATCCTCAGTGAGACTGTGCTGCTGTGGGCTGGTGAACAGCAGCTGCTGCCCAGCGTAAATATAGAGGCGAGAGCCGCAGGTCTCCCACGCCTCTGTGCTCGCTTTAGAATACAGTTTCCTCCTGGCTTTGGTGTGGTGGATGGGTGGCCTCCCTCTGCTTTACAAATTATAAGGCCTCCAGCTCCAAACTCACTGTCTCCACCCCGAGTAAGTAATGGCTACTCTGCTGTCTGCTAAAATAGATCTGGTGCAGGAGAGAGAGAGGCAGCAAATGAAAAACCCGGGTCAAGATGGATACCAGTCACACTTGAGATGTGATACGGTAAATATTTAGGGTGAGTGAGGAGCTTAAGATAAAGAGTAGCAACAGTTAGTGAGGCTTTTGTCCTACCAGCACCTGAAAACCAGGAGTCACTGCAACAGGCTGCTGGTCTTAAGGGAAACAGTCAGACCACATTAAAACTAAAGCTATTACATTTTATGTCTTCCTAATGTGTGAGGATGAAACCAACAAGATTTAGAGCTGTTTTAGAGGAGCTGTTGGGCACATTGTCATCCATCAGAATGAAGCCAAGCTTTAAAAATAAAATAGCCAACAGAGCACTACACGTGTGCACAACACTTGCCAACAGAGACAGTACAACCAGAAACGTGCACGTCATAAATCTTACCCAAGACAGGACCACATGCCTTCTGATCAGATATTAAAGTTGAGAAAGGCAGTCCCAAATCTTTTCACCTAACAATCAACGTTATTCTTTCAGTGACTTCGAGTCTATGTGCTGCCTGAAATTAAAAGCATCCTCTTGTTGTTTCTGCAGGACTCAAAGAGAAGATGAAGTCTCACTTGGTGTTTCAGGTCTCCTGTGTGACCCTGCTCTCGCTGTGCTGCTCTGTGTGTCACGCCACACCTCTGTTCTACAACATATCCATGGACGGCAGCGGAGATGAAGCCGAGCTGGAGCTCCTTTTCCCGGTGTCTTTCTCCACCCGCGCACCTGTTCACGTTACCGCCGCTACCGGGGGTCCCACTCTCACCAACACCATAACCACCACCATGATCCGTCTGAAGGACTACGTCCTGACCCGAGTAGTGGACTTCCTGCAGGAGAACATGCTCATCATCATCGTGGTGACCTCTCTTCTCATCGTCATGGTCTTCATCATCTGCTGTGCCTCTGCAATGAGTCACAAGCGCAAGCTGGAGGCATATAAGCCCCTACCTCATCCACCCAGGAAGTATACGGCCGATAAAGCCGGAGGACGCAGGGATTCAAGTGACCTGCAGGAGAAACCGTACGCCGTCGATCACGTCAAGAGGGTCCAGACTCAGAGCATGTCCTCCCCGAAGAACCTGCGGATGCCCTCCAAGGCGCTGGTGGGAGAGAGAGGGAGAGACGTCCGGTCATCACCTCGACAGGAGGTCAGAAAGGTCAGAGATACAGAGGCAGTGGAAAAGCGGAGAGAGGAACCAAAACACAAAGAGAAGGTGAAGCACAGGGAGGAGGTTCAGCAGAGCTCCAGTCCCAGCACCAGCTCCAGCTCTAGCTCCAGTCAGCCAGTCTGCACCTGCCATCTGAAAAAAGGCCACCACTAGGTCACAGTGGTGGGCTTTTTCTCGCTTTTTAAACAAGATCAGAAACGGGCAAAGGCAAAATGGGTCCTCAAAATGTGTTTTCATTAGAATAGCCTTACAGAGGGAAATAGGTCTAAATTTAAGTGAAGTCATGCCTCATGAAGAAAAATTACCCATCATTAAAGTCTAAGATCTAGATTTAAATATACAGTGAAGAGGATTATTACCCAAATCACTGGTTACTGAAAAGATTACAAATGGTACAGCTCAAATTGTTTGATTGATAAGCAGGCACGAGGAAAGATAGCAGCATACCGAGACCCTTTTAACGGCCACTTTGTTTTCATGTGCCGAAAACAACTTTAACTTGGCACGGCAAGCACAGGATTTTTCTTTTTCCTGTAATTACTGAAAAAAACATAACACCACTGTGCTACTGAGGCAGTAAAACTTTATATAATAAGTATTATTTTCCTGTGAATAACACTTTCAAAGGGAACTAAAATAAAGTATTATTCCACATACCTGTCCAAAGGAATCTCCTCATTATGTCCTGCTGGAGTGAAAACATCTGGATCTGTCATTTAGAGCAACACGTTCGGTGCTGTAAATAAGTCAAAGTGAAATGTCAGTAAACTTGACGTGATAAGTAGCAAAACTTTCTCTTTATATTTACAGTTATATTTACTTCATTTTGTTTGCATCGGGTTGTTAAGTTTCACATGATATCATATTTTATTTTAAAAACCTTTTAACTGTGTTATTTTTAGGTATCTGAACAAAGGCTGTATTAAATTACCACAAATCTACTATGTGTACTGCATGTCATGGTAAAAAGAGATCACAGTGTGTTTCAGTTCTAAGGTTTCACGTATCAGGACATATTAAAGAATGATCAGGTCTTAAATTGAAAAACTGCAGACCAAAATGCAGAAGCAGAGTGTGAAACATTAAGTACGCTCCTTTTGCGGCGATAATCTGAAGTCATTGTTTTCTGAATGACTTTACGAGTCTCACGCGTCGTTGTGGAGGAAGTTTGGTCCATTCTTCTTTGCTGCAGTGGTTCAGTTCATTGAGGTTTGCGGGTATTTGGCCTGCAGCATTACAATCGAGCTGAGATCTGAAATTTGGCTGAACCATTGCAACAATCATTCTGTTGTAGATTCGATGTTGTGTTTGGGATCATTGTCCTGATGTATAACCAAATTTAGGCCAAGCGTAAGCTGTCAGACAGATGGTCTCACATTAGACTCAACAATACTTTGGTATGCAGAGGAGTTCATGGTGGACACAGTGGCTGCAACCAACGTGCTTGACAGCTGTTATGAAGTGTTTGTGCTGATATGCTGTGTTCAGTTTTCCCTAAACATGGCGCCGTGCACAGTGACCACACATGTCTGCTTTGGTCTTGTGGTTTAATCAGATGTAACTTAAACCTAAGCATCTCTACTGGCAACCCTTCCAAATAAGCCACATTTGTTAAGTCTTTTCTTTGATAATTGTTTTGTCATGAACTTTAACATTTAACATGCTAACTGAGGCCTGCACAGTCTGAGCTGTAGATCTTAGGGGCGTGGACCTTGTGGTGAATTTGCTGGGACATTTTCCACTTGTGAATTATATTTCTCACTGTAGAGTGATGGAGTTCAGTTTGTTTGGAAATGACCTTATGACCTTTCCCACACTGATGACTGTTGCTGATGTCTTTCATCCTCAGCATTGTGTCAACACACCTGAATACCACAGACCTACAAACCTCTGATTTTATAAAGGTGCTCACACCTGCCAATGATTAGTTAATCAATGATTAGTTAATCAAATGATTAGTTAATCAAATGCATTTGATCAGCAGTACCTGGCTGTTAGTTACCCCCTTACTTTCCACACACTGCTTCTGCGTTTCAGCTTAGTCTTTGTTAAATCAGTGACATGTTGTAATATGTCACAGGATGCTGTTCTGAACTGTCTTGAACTGAAAGAGGGTCACTTTCTTTGTACGATGACTGTACATATTTATTCGGCTAATACCTTTGACCTGCTCTCAATGGGCAAATGTATAAAAAAAGTAGGCAGTAGAAAACAAATGTTTAAGTTTTCCTTTTAAATAGTTAGTGCATTTATGTATACGATAAATTATGCTTTTTTATTTTAAGTGTAAACGTTTGAAATGTGAGTAGAAGGACAGACAGTTGGCATGTTTAGCTTACGTGTATAGGCTTGACAGATGCATATTTGTCTCTCTTGTCTGATTTTCTTTGATTAAATTACTCTGTTCTGTTGTTAAGTTAATGACCTTGAGCATCTAATCTAAGCCTGAATTATGTGCCGATGCTTTTGTCATGCTGACATACTGTTTTCTGCCTAACCTCAGCCACAGTTGCTTTCTTTTTTGACACTTGAATTGTTTACAAAAAGACCGTTTTGTTTTGCTTATATTTAATAAAGCTATCAAAAAAGATGTCTCTGAGTGCCGTAAATGTAGCAGCGTACATGGCTGAAGCTACGCCAAATGAAGCACAGATACAACCCTGTGGAAACCTACAATTAGAAAAGGCGAGGAAGGTCTCGGAAAAACAAGAGGACAATCTCAACGTGCACATTATGTTCCACTTGGGAATCTGTAATTTTGACCTGCGTCCACACAGAAATCACTGGTAACTATTTTAAGGTAATTACCGAAATGCCAGATCTGTGATATCTGCTCTGTGATGATATAGGCTGTCTTCTCTTTTAACAGTTCAAACCCCTGATCTGCAAAAGAAAAAAAAAAACACTGCCAGAGCTTTCTGATTGGCCGGGATGAAGCCGCTGGCACCATCACCTCGCAGGACTGCAGAAGAAGGTACTCGAGCCTGGAGATGACGAGAGCCCCCTTTGTCCTTTGCTGGCAACTGTACAGAATTGTTTAATATTTCAATAGCAGTAATCCAGATACATACGGACCCTTTGGCACAAAACAGGAGCTCATGTATTGTTTATACAAATCCTGGGGACCCTGATTTGTTCCCATTAGAATTATGATAAAAAGTCGAATCCCCTTTGTTCCATATTTTGAGCAAGTAATGAAATATTGATGCTGTATGAACAGTGCAACTCTTTCAGTTGTGTATTTTAATATATCTTATTTCCAGTGTGACATGGATAAATCATGATGCCATCTGAAATCTGTTTTAAAAATGTAGAAAATTCATAAGAATGTTTTTTTAATCCTCAAACATAAAACTTCTTTCAGGTCTTAAGTAGGTCAAACTGCCAAAGATCAAACAGGACATGATAGCGCACCAGCTGAAAAGCAAGTGTAACCATGTGGTGGCTGAAACGTGAGCCCAGACAGAGCCTTACACCGGGCTCAGATTCCCTGCTCTTTTATCAATGAGGTGCTAAATAATTCGAGAAAATGCTAGCCCCTTACTTTCACTCTTCCTTCCAGAAAGATGCAAACCTTGTAGCACATCTTCACTAAAGTCACTAATAACCTCCACCTTAGCTGGGCTCCAACAGGAGAATATTTAGGACATCCTTTTTTTCATACCATTTTTTTTTCTGAATGTCTTTTGTATTTTCAGCTTGTTCATCATAAAACAGCTGACAAACAAAAGGACTTCTTGGTCAGTTCGGATGGAGAAGATGATCAAGAACAGGTAATAGAGCTCCTTAAGGCTGTCATTAAACTTTGATGAGCATCTGCCTGGAATTATCAGCAACGTCGGTTATCTTTAGAGGGACAGTCGATCACGTAGGGAGCATGGGAAAGCACCCCTGCCTGTCTCTTTGGAGGAGCAGATAATACACAGAAAGAAGAATGGTAAGTGAGGCAGCTTTCACTCTTTGGCATCACTTTATAACAAGTCACACCTTATCATGGGGTTTTAAGACGTAAGAAGTGGCTTTATAAATAGTTTTGGCAATTCCATGAATGGGTTTTACACTCTGCAGCTCTTTTCCATAAGGTCATTATATGTACCAGAGTGTGCTGGTGGAGTACTGGTATTAATAAATGGTTCATTAACCTTTAATAAAGCTGCTTTTGGCTGTTTCCTTATCCACACGGGATTACCACAGCAGGTGGCTCCACATGTTTGTTTTGGCAGAGTTTCTATGTCAGATGCACTTCCTGATGCAGCCCCAGTGGAATTTGTCTGTCCTTCCTGGATCAAACCAGGGATCTTTCAGCTGCTTATTAACCGTTAATTAAGCCATATTATAACATTATACCCCTTCCTTTATAGAACTTTTAGAAGAACCATATCCTCTAAATTCATCTAACTTCTCATCTTTCCTGCATTATTCTTGCAGTGAGTCATGCTTTGGTGCAGATGTGGTGTCCTGCTGGCTCTCTGCATCTGTCCTCTAGCCTGCCTTGCAGTGTCTCCCTGTCCTACTGGGTGCTGCTGTCCAGGATTTCTGGTTCTGTGTGAGTCACTAGGCCTGAGGTCACTCCCTCGCTTGGTTCCTCTCAGTACCTCGGCTCTATCTGTGGCCAGAAACCAGCTCTGTAATGTGGACCACCAGCTCTGGCCCTTCTCTGGCCTCCAGGAGCTCAGCCTCAGTCACAATCTGCTAGCCCGCTTCCCTCGTGGCCTGCCTCCCAGCCTGGAGTCCCTGCAGCTGCAAGAAAACCGCATTACTTACATCACCTCAGGTGTCCTGAGGCAGCTGGGAAACCTCACTCACCTGGACTTAGAGGACAACCGTATTCGTGCCATCCAGCCCGGGGCACTTCAGGGTCTCCATAAGCTGCAGGTCCTGATGCTGAAGGGGAACAGGCTTACCAGTCTCCCCATGAGTCTTCCACCATCACTGACCCACTTAGATCTTTCAGAAAACTGCATCTCTGCCTTGGACCTGCCCTCACTGTCTGCCCTGGTCAACCTGCAGGTCCTGAAGATCAACAGCAACTGCCTGCGGTCAGTCCCAGAGAGCGCCTTTGACAGCCTGCCACGTCTCAGATCTGTGGACCTCACCAACAACCTGTGGGTGTGCGAGTGTGACATTCTGTATCTGTACCGCTGGCTGCTGAGCGGTAGGCTTAAGATGGCCACAGACATTGTGTGCACAGAGCCTGATCATCTCGCCCACCGTCTGCTTCTGAATCTCTCTGTCGTGGCCATCTGTCCTCGTGTCCTGAAGCCAAATGACAGGACACACGAACGTGACCTCAGCTCTGCACAGGCGAGGATGCTAACAGCGCAGCCAGCAGAGAAAATATCAAAACTAACCACTAATGGACTGCTTTCTGAAGCTCTAAACAGTAATCAAGACTCTTCCAAGACGCGTGTCTTGCACTACTCTTTAGAGACTCTTACCTATGAGGAGTGTTTATCCCTAAATAACAGTCAGTCAGTCAGCCCCTTCCATTTAAAGACTACTACTTCTCTCCCTGAGGAGGAACAGAGGTGCAGAGACAACATTACAGCTCGATACCCTCAGAGTAACGTAACCCTTGCTGAGGGGACACAGTTCTTGCTTTCCACACATAGAGATGCACTCGTGCCCACTCTCGTCCCACAGCTGTTCACTCAGCAGGCCTCTGCAGCGATAGTCTCTCTGCTCGTTGTGCTGTGTGTGTTAGTGGCTCTCGTAATGCTGGCAGTGCTGCTCGTGCTGAAAAAGGTGCTTGTGCGTCAGCAGAGGGTGGCTCCTGCTGATTCAGGATCAGCAGGATGACATTTACACACACACAGACACTGAAGTCTTTTAATCTGTTTATTCACAGTAAGCAAAGCACCTCATACAAATTTTCTGAACTTTTTTTTGTATGTAAACTTTAACTGTTGACATTCTCATACCAAGTCTTTCATCTGGGACCTACATTGTCTCACAAGTGAGCCAGAAAGAGCCTCAAAGCCAAAAAAATAAAACTACAAACCCACATCCCTGCTTCATTAAAGATGTCTTTAATGCTATGTGTATTAAAGTGTTAAGCTTCACCATGAACCCATTGTTAATTAAACAATTCTGATTGTGTGATAAAAGCAAAGAATCCATAAACGCTATTAACACTTAAACAATATGGGACCCACACCTGTGGAGAATTCCCCAATGGATGCAAGATCTGATGCGATGTGATTACAGCAACCCGTCTGCACTGCTCTGGCACTAGGAGAGGCACAATATCCAACAATAGGATACATCTATTATTATAGTCAGTGAATAAAAACATTAATTGCTGGCTTTAACATGTTCCTCCTTGTCCTGTTGCTTTAGCCGGTAGTCTGACAGTGCTGCTTTTATGGCATCTTCTGCAAGCACTGACAAAAAAAGCAGATTTTAGAGCCACTATGAGCATAATTTGGAAAACAAAAAGCATTCAGTTCATGATAACTGGGTGATTTGATTTCATATCATCATTATGTAGGTGTGATTAATACAGTCATTCATTCTTCCATAGAGACGGGTTACACCATGAAGAGCTCGCCAATCTGTTGCATGGCTAAGACATAGAAACAGAGCTATTCACACCATCATCAGTTAACCTATAGATGTGGTCAGAAGTTTACACTTATCGTGGGGAGGACTGACATAGTATTAGGGGACTTTTAATGATTTCTTTGAACTGTTCTTCTGAATTTATTATGGACTTTCTCTGATTCTCACACAGGGTTAAAAGTATACACACGGGGTCTGGTAACTGTGTTTTTGTCAAAGTCTGGAAGAAGACCCAAACTGTTACCCTTAGATGAGAGTAAATTGGTTTAGATGTTCAGAAACAACTCAGGAACTGCTGAGGCTCAAGCCTGCTATGAACTCATCAAGCCATTAAAGATGTATGTAAAGATGGAAATACAACAGTTCAAAGAAACCATTAAAAGACCCAAATTACCATGAGATTCATGCCAATGATGAGTGAATGTAAACATCTGACCACAACTGTAACGTGTGTTTGGACTGTGGAAGGAAACCAGAGTACCCAGAGAGAGCCCACACTGTTGAGAGATATATTTATTGCACAGGAAACACCTGATCTGAAAGCATAAATGTATGTGCTTTCAAACAGAGCAAGAGAAAGAATTTGTTTCAGGGGGAAAATGGTGTGCATGGTCCTGAAGCTATTTTGGAAACTTAACAGCACATTTTGATCTTAAGTGGGCTGGACCAGGGAAACTCCCCTTTGTTGTTGTAAAGCTGTTTAACTACATATTTAATCCCTGAGATAGCTTAATGTAAGAAAAAAAAAACAAAAAACAGTTTGAATCATATTTCTCAGGTTTTCTACACAATTAGGAAATGCTGCCATACTGAATTAAAGAAATCAGTCAGCATGACCCTTTATGCTTAAATGGTAAGAAATTACTGTCTTTTTTTATTAACTGACCTAAAATACTTTGGTTTAGTATGAATGGCCACAGTGGAGATCCTTCTATTAGGAAAAGCTACAAAACTTGAAATGAAAATACAATTCACATTTTCCAAAGTCTTCCAGTGGGCCGGACTGAAGTTTTTGCTGGGTCGATTCTGCCCCCCAGACTTTATATTTGATATATGATATATATTCTGACACCCATGTCTTAAGAGGTGTTAATAACGACTGTGAACTTACTTGAGCAGTGAAGCTTGACTGGAGGAAGGCAGAGTTCTTTGGCAATGTCTGTGTTCTTGATCTTCAGAGCATCGTCAACCTGCAGGGTAAAAGCAGATTCATGAGATCCTTTACAATAAAGCGGAGAAAACAGCACTTTTAGGGTCCATTTGTTGGTTGCCTGTACTTTGGTAATTTAACATACCGACTTCCCCTTCACCCACTCTGTTGCTAGAGAACTGGAAGCAATGGCCGATCCGCAGCCAAATGTTTTGAACTTTGCATCGACGATCTTTCCATTTTCATCCACTTGGATCTGCAAACAGCACAGAGTCAAACATCGGAATTTCAAAGACATGACAATACATTGGTTTCTGCTGCTGGCTTCCAGCTTACCTGAAGTTTCATAACATCACCGCATGCCGGTGCACCCACCAATCCAGTCCCCACATTTTTGGAGTTTTTGTCCAGGGAGCCCACGTTTCTCGGGTTTTCATAGTGGTCCACAACCTTAGGGAGAGGTCACACTTATCAGAAAATATATATATCTCTGATCTGTTGGTGGGGCAGCTGACAGACAGGGCAGTGTTACCAGTGACAACAACAAAAAATGTCAGCTAACTCTAAGTAAGGTGACGCATTTTCACTCGTTTACCTTTTTGTGGTACAAGCAGACAGCGCTCAGCTCCGGTTTGAAAATCCTCCTGCTGAAAAACAGCAGCAAGGACGAGGAGCTTCGTAGGCAGACGTTCGCCATGTTTCCAGCACCAACTGCGAACGGAAATCAACGAGTGAACACGAGGAAGCACGAACGGCTTGTGTTGACAAACAAATGAGAGAAGAACGTTTTACACAACCAGAGAGCGCCCACTAGCGGCCACGGGCGGGGTTAGACGGTGACCCGTGTTGACGGGCTCCGCCTCTCGTCGTCCCGCTGGCTGCTAGCAGGCTGTTACCAGGCAGATAGGCTTTCCAACATGGCAGCGTCAAGCAACGCAGAGCAAACGCAGTTGCAAGATATGGAGGAGGAAGATGCAGGGATGGAGGAGAGGGAGATGGAATCGGACGAAGAAGAGGAGGAAGGCATGGGAGTGGAAAATTCAGACGAAGACGAGGAGGACGATTCGTCGGAGGACGAGAAAGAAAATGAAGCCGAGATCCAGCGACTTGAGGAGCAGGTAATTAGCCAGCGTTAGCCGAGGGGCTAATGAGAATGAATGGGTGGTAAACACGGCCAGCCACAATCGGGTTGGCAGCATTAAAGCTGTGAACTCCTCCGTCATGACATGGTAGAGTAAAGGCAGAAAATATACGTGGCGTTGGTAGCTCTCGTTAACCAAAACATCTAAATATACAACCACGTCATTTATATAGCTGTCGTGATTAGCTGCCTTGCTAATGTGCGAGGCTAATAGTTCGCGTGCCTCGTATTCACACGCGCCTTTTTTGTTGCAGTCTCAGTCTACGGCGTGATCCCAGCGTTTAGTGTGGGTTAGAAAGAAAGTACAGTACAAACAAAAACAGTACACGCTGTGCTAACTTTAATGGGCGTCACGTGATCAGTGACCCCTTCACATAGCATTGAATCTGCTGTAGTCTTAAGTACGGAGAGTGCTTCTGCAGCGTCGCTGGTGTTGCGCTGAGTTGACTGTGTGGTAGGTGTAGCTCTCCTGCAACCTACAAATACACTCAAATATAGATCCAACTGCATGACTGTACACGAGTCCCTCTGCGAGCATCAGTGTGTGGTACTGCTGACTGTAGTGTGCTATATACAGAGATATGTTTTAAATATTCAGTCTCACTGCTGTAGCCCAAAAGTCTAACAGATCAAACTACAACCCACGAAACTACCTGAATTTTCAACCAACAACTCAACAAAATAGAAACATTTGCTCTCATGAAGGATTGGGTTTAGTTTATTTAGGATACACAGGGTGCAGGGATTTTTTTTGCATATAACAGATTTGTATTTTCACCAAAGAGATCTTGGCCTGCCAAAAAGCTTCATAAAATATTTTTACATTCATAGAGAGATATTAAATAAGGTAACACACTTTTCCTACATGTAAACCAATTGTAGCTGTTTTATGTGTTCACCTAAGAATCAAAAGATCCCTGGTGCGATCCTGGGAGAGGTTGCGTCATGAAGGGTAAAAATTCGGCCAAATCAAATATGCGGAGCTACCTGCTGTGGCGACCTCTTGTGAATGCAAGAACAGCTTAAAGTAGATTTTACATGCCAACCGATTATGATTTTGTGCCTACAAAACCCCTGAAGTGCATTGTCACGTATCTCATTTCTTCTTCATCTTTGTGTAACTCCTCAGCTGTCCATCAACGCTTTCGACTACAACTGCCATGTGGATCTTATCAAGCTGCTAAAGCAAGAAGGGGAACTTTTCCGCCTGCGAAAGGCGAGGCAGAAGATGAGTGAGCTTTTCCCTCTCACTGAAGGTCGGTGCACGGCTAACATGCTTCTGGGGTTGGAGGAATAAGCGGCTCTGCATTATTTACAACTGAAACCTTGTTTTTTTTAATCCCCCAGAGATCTGGCTGGATTGGCTCAAGGATGAAATCCGTCTGACTGAGGAGGAGCCAAACCGAGAGAAAGTATATGAGCTGTTTGAGAGAGCTGTTAAAGACTATATCTGTGAGTGCGCAACACCATCGCCACCACCTTCCGGCCTGATGATTAGTAATTACACGATCCTAACATTTAACTTTACACACACAGGCCCCGATATCTGGCTTGAGTACGCACAGTACTCGATCGGCGGTATGGGCTCACCAGGCGGAATCGACAGGGTGAGATCCATCTTTGAGAGGGCGGTGACAGCAGTGGGGCTTCACATGACCAAGGGACAGATGGTGTGGGAGGCGTACAGAGAGTTTGAGAACGCCATCCTGTCCACAGTACAGGTTTGTGCGCCCGTCACTAGGACAGAGTTCATCATTCACACATAAGCTATATTTGTGTTTTTGTATTGATTGTCATATTGATGCCATATTGTTTCAACCATTGTCTTAGAAATTAAAAGCTAGTGGAAATAATTTTGTTTCCATGTTAATGATGTCAAATATAACACTTCTTCAGTTCAGATTGCTGACTTGAATTCTTTCCATGTTTAACCGAATGGCTTGTGCT